AAAGTGCGTAGCAAAAATTAAAGCTATATTTGGAATAAACTAAGACTTGAGACTCGCTTTGCGCAAGTCATCAGATCAGCGTTCGCACTATTTTCCTTTCGGATGATTCAATACTTAGAGTCAACATAACGGTGCAAAGCGTTCTCGATTACCGATCCTAAAGCATAGAGGTTTACAGTGCAGTCATTTTCTACTCGACGTGCGCGATACATTCCTATTCGAAATGCTATCCATCCCATCTCGGATACGTTCGCTTCCGTTCGTTCGTTCATGCACAAAAAAATATTCAGCAAACACTCTTTCATTACTAAAAGAAAAATACGAGAAAGACGCTGGAAAAGCACTTCTTCTGAGTCAAAATATGCTGTCTGTCCTAAAATCTTGTATACACTTTGATTGTTAATATCCTTGCTGCAATGTCTTTTGCCGATGTCTTGGTAGTATTTGTAGAGCTGGCATCAACTCCGATTTTCAGTACAGGGCGCCCAGCACGAGGTGGAGTTTGAGAATTTTGAAAAACGTAAAAACGTCCCCCTTGACATTACATAACGGAAGATTGCGAGATGCCTTTTGTGGTGTTTGTAGAAATACGGCTGGTAACCGGCAGCGAACAATGAGTAAATGGAAGCTAGGAATAGACAAATAAAAGAGGAGATAAAGCATCAACACTAGAAAAAAGCGGTTTTTATATTATTTAAGGGCCGTAGCAAAGCAGAGGGGACGAAATTTGTGTTAAGATAAGTATACGTGGCTATGATTCGAACAGAATAGATTTATGTGAAAAATTTTGAAAAATCATGTGAAGAAGGGAAAAATTATGACTTTTTTTGGTTCTGCGCAACCTCAGAGTGCTCCCATTGCGCGGGAGCGAATTTACATCTCTTTTATTCACATAATTTTTTTAATAATTTTTCATAGTTTCCTTTTTATCTTATCGTGGTCGCGAAGCTACACACCAAATTTGGTGGCTCAATTTTGCTTACCGATTGTAAACAAACCGATTATTTATCTTTTGTGCATTAAGATTGCGTTTTAACGCGTTGAAATCGTGTGCACACAGCTCTGAACCCTTATCCTGTTCGTAACGTTTTAATCTACGTGCTACTTGTGAAATGGCGTTAGAGTCGAAATAAAGGCTTTCTAAAGGTTAGCTTCCGCCCACTAGTATTTAGTCAGATTTCCGCGAATCACTCTTTGGAATTTTACGAGTTCCCTTTTGCCTTTCTCCAGGAAAACGACATCCAGCGTGTGAAAGCGTCACCTCTGCTGAGTCCTGTATCAACCCCCTGGGGCACGCATCGCAAGCTATGCCACCAGGACACAGAATTCGATGTTTCGGTCAACATTTTGTCACGGGAAACCGAGGTGTCAGCGCGAAAGACGCTCGAGGCGTGCTGGATTCTATCCCAGAATCACAAAATGAACAGAAAAGAAGAATGCACCGCCGTAACAACTGAGCTCGCGCCATTAATGGAGTTATGCAAGTTTTGATCTATGCGTAGCCTCCAGAGACTTGCCTCACTCATTGTTAACGCATCCCAGCCAGCGGTGGTTCTACCTCATTCTGACAAAAAAGGTGAGCTAATAGTTCTAGGCCTTAACGGGAGTCTATACAACTTCTTGGACATTTTCTTGCATGTGATGAGTTGTTTGGGAGGTTAATTCCTAATGTTCCTCACTTTATAGGCTCTGACGAAGGCGACTAGGCAAAAACGTTAGCCGTATAAATGCTATGATAACCTTGGTGTTGGCTCAATCATAAAAGCAACTAATTCGATATGCCAATTCATTGAAGGTCGAACATGGAACATCATACTTCTTTTCGCACTAAATACAAAGAACTATTATTTCTTTGCTCACACCAGGATTAGCTTAACTTTCGTGAAGGTAACGAGGTTTGAGCTATCGAATATATTTATTCTCGCGCCTTCCCTTCACGAAGTAGCACAGACTTAGCATGTTACCGTAATCCAGTATTCGCAGTTTTTTCCACTTGCACATGTAAGGAAAAATGAGTACATGTTTTTCCAGGAGCGATTTTGAAAGAAGTCCCTGCTGTGTGAAGGAAAACGTTTAGCAGTGCCAAAGATATAAAAGACACAAATATATCGATGCTTTGAATGTAATTTGATGGGGTTTGGATCCCCAAAAAGGTGTGGAGCAACAGCTTTTTTGTGATTGTACCACACCCCATTTACTACCTCCAAAAAGAAATCTGGCGAACAAATCACATATAATTCGATGGCCAAAATTTCGTAGTGTTTGTCGAAGTGATTTGAACTGAATTCCTCTTCTTTCTTTGAGGCCTACAGCTGCTGGAAGCACCACCAAGTTTTATCCTGTGAGCTAAAAATGGGACAAATGAAATTTTGGCTGGCATCTATTTTTCTCTGATGGTTATTTGGAACAGGATTCATGATAAGGGCAATTAATGAATAGTGCTTTGTATTAAGTACAAAAAGAGGTAGCAAAGAGGTAATCAATTCACTTTTGAGATATAGTTAATCATGTTTGAAAATGACCACTTCAGTTGGGTGGCCCAATATCGGCCTTCAAAACCCACTAAAACTTGGTATGCAAGCACAGGGTTATTATCATGATAATTACGAATGTCTTACTAAGTATGCTTGATAAAGCTTTAATGTCATGCCGTAGGCAGGGAAACGGTACCGGGAAGGGGGTGGGAGGGGTGGGGGTCTTTTTTGGCGGTTGTTGGCGGCTGTGTGCTACACCTCTTGCTCGACGGTCTCAAATCACCCCCCGTTTTATGATAATTAGTAATCAGAGAAACTCATCTCAAGCATAATTTATGCCCATACTTGCCTTGTGTATAAGTAAGTGCACATCTGGAAGGGCAGATCGAACAGCAAACAATTGTAAGGAGAGCCTGAGCAGACACAAATACTACAACAGATGACGCCAGCTTGATAAGAATCAGATAGAATACAGTTGGAGCACAAGACTATGCTTAAAACAGGAACAGAGAATAAATAAATTAAGGCTACCCTTCTTATAAGTTATGACAAGCTTGATCTCAAGAATAATTTTTGTTTTATTGTCTTCTTTTGCATATTGCTTATTCCATTTATTTGTATGTACATACATACCTTTGCTTTTTTCTGTTGTATTCTTAACCAGTATGTGTCGCTTTCACTCTGTAATTTTGTTTGGATTGATTTCAAAATTAAAGCAAGGCATTACCTAAATTTATCACCTAAATGGGAAAACACATACTAATCAGCCCTGAAGTGGTACCACACTCGGCAAACCAACCAGTCAGGAAGCCAGGAAGAGCAGCACAGCAAACATGAATCCATTGAGTCAAGGCGCAGCGTGTTCCTGCTCACGAAGCAATGAATCGGCTTAGAAGCCCCAACATATCTATCCTCACCGAAGCACTCCCTTACTTGCGCAGCTAATGAAGAGTAGTGGAACATCGCCATGGTACTACTCGCCTTATTCGACTATATGCCTTCGGGAAGTGAAAAAACTCCGTTCTCAGATGACCGTTGTTCGAACGTGATATTTCTGTCAAAGTTGAGAAAGCTAACTTTATATATGAAAAAGAACAAGCGTCATGTACTGATGTATAACTTCAAAAAACAAAATAAGTAGTTGTAAGGATCTGAATGTACTGATTGGACAGAGCCGATCAAAGGCGACATACGCACACACCCGTCGCCCTTTCTGCATTTTCCATTTTGTGCAGAATTCTTTGCAATAGGCTACTAATTTTCTCGTTGAAGATTCACAATGCATTGTGTCTGCGCTAGAGTTTGCGAATTATAACGAGCGAACTAGTCTATGCTCCTTAGTGAATCGAACTATTGGAAACTGTTTACCCTTTGATTCAACTGGCTTGGCGGCTGAAAGGCGGGGCTTCGTGTTCTAATTAAGGCTAGTTAACGATCAGAGGGCACGCGCGCGAGAAGGAAGCAGACTGCGTAGCGGGCTCGAGCGGAATTAATTGTCACAAAGACCCGCTTTCTAGCCGCCAAGCCAGTTGAATTAGAGGTTACAATGCTCCTGAATTTCTAGAAGTCACCTCTCCGAGTCTTTATATGTACCCAAAAAAAGAAAGTGTCCTTCATCGAGGAAGATAAAGAACGTCAATGCTTAAGGAACTAGCGTAAGATTACGTTATCATCATTTCATGCTATAGAAAGTAATAGATTTTATACTCAATATAATTTATATATGGACTCATCTGCATGTCTTTTTTTCTGTGGCTGGTTGCTAAGGAACCATGCAAAGTAACGTCGAAAGTATCACAGCCGCATCATAAAATTTTGTGCACTAGCAGATTTGCAGATGTTGCAGGAGTTTGGTGAACATGAAAGACCCTAAGACAGCATAAAAAAAGCAAATGGAGAAATCCCTATTGAGGAAGTCTTTCGATAGCTATTGTAAATTGGAAGAAGAGGTAACATCTATCCCGCCCCCTCTCTTCAGGCGCAAGATTTTCTGAAGTGGAGATGCGACAAATTGCGCAAAGCACATCTTTTCCTTCAAATATTTAGAATAAAAACTAGTCTAGTCCACAAAACGTGTTTCAGCAGGAGGTGTCCCGAAAATTCTCGAAAAGCGAGGCCGATACCATGCCCTTTTCTAAGGAAACATTTTTTCTCTGTTCCACTCCCGCGTTCCTCTCCATCCCTCTCTCCCCTCCCCCCCCCCCCCCCCGAAAAGATCCGAGAGGTCTTTATTGTTATGTGATAGATTTAGGAGTTCTAGCCTACCGGGAAAGTAAACCTGAAGTTACCAAACTAAATTACTAAGCAAACACTTTTTACGACCATAGATTGGGTCTTTTCCCGTACGCTTTTCTCGTAACCATCCCTCCTTCAAATCCTCGTGTTTTGCAAACTGGAAATTCTGCTCTAAGAAGCGATATGGATTAGTTTGAAGTTTCAATAATTGATGAATTTATTTACAACAAAATGAAAAACTATACGAAATTGAGCAGCAAAATGATCATGAAATTATAGACACGAAATATGCAACAGATTCTACTTAATACAAAAAAAAACTTATGAGCATCAGCGGTTAAATCTATCGACATCACCTCATCGATTTGGTGGACATCTTACCCGTCAACATGACACAGTATAGCTGTGTGTTCGTCAGCATATGTACAGAGGTTCCAAGATTTCGTGGTCCTATCGATGATGCTCAGTGAGATTGATACCAGTGCGAAGATACACTTCGGCTGCCTTCTTTTCCATATTCTTTTGAACTGAAAGTAGAGGTTTATCAAATTTTTAGATTATTTCCCCGTTCTGTCGTTTAAGACGAGCACACGTCACCCGAGCTATGCATCTTTTCACCACGTTTCATCTCCACAGCAAATGCTATTAGACTGAAAACAGCACGAGTGTTTCACTTAAAAATGCAAGGGAGAAGCACTTCTGTTGTGCTGCAGAAAGTTTCCGCATTATCTCTTCGGAAAAGGGCTTTTCCTTCGCTAAAATCCACTCTTTTTCAAGTAAGGAATCGTGTTGAAGAAAATCCGTATGCGGGTTTATTTAGGAGAATTTCTTAAATGATTGAGAGATTCGGTTAAGCATTTATCCAAACGGCAGTTCGTAATTCCTATCTGGTTTAGCACCAAATTCTCCCCACAGACCTAGGTTAGACACCACCGTCCGAGCAGGTAGTCGGTAAAAGGATAGGCATGAATTTTTCGGCCAGGAATAAATCCGGTACTTACATTCACCTAGACATAGCCCTGTATCAACTTCATCCTCATTTCTACTTAGCTTGACTAAATAAAAAATATACTAAATACCCATTTCATGGGTATTTAGTTTGTGGATTGGATTGCGCGCACTTCGCTCATCAAGTCGGTAGATCAGGTTTTCTCTCTCGTGCTTTGATTTTTCTCCTTCAAAACAAATATTGGCTAGCATAAAGGTAGGGTGGTGTCTATGAAGCTCAATAAAAGTTTACAGCTTTCCGCGCTGCATAAATATGAATTCTTGGATAAATCACATGTAAGTTGTTTCAGTAAGACATCTGTAATAAAAGTAACTCAAAACGCTTCCCTAATGCCATTTTTGTGTCAAAAAGGCTCACGCTTGTTAGCATCATAATTGGATTATTACATCAAGTCCATAATTGAGGAGGATACTGAGCCTGTTGAGATTACGAAATTAGGTTAATCATTTCTCAAAAAATCATTTACAATGTATCTTGAGTTTTCAGCTCCCAGTTCTAAATCAGAGTTTTTCTTATCCACAGCGTAAAAGTGAGGCCTTTGCAGAAAACAGCATGGGATTAAAAGACATGGGATTTGCTTATTTTTGCAGAATCAGACAAACAACACATTACGTTAGCAACTGTCGCAAGAAAAACATTCACAGCTAACATACTGATGAAAACAAACCTTCACTGATTGCTAAACTGCTTAGAGATTTACATAATTGAAACAGATGAGATTATAAGACATGGGCAAACCCTCATGCTTCCGATTTTCTCATTACTGCGTTTACCTTACGAAAACATAAATATCAAAGTTGCCGTGCTGTTGGAAGAAGTAGAAAAGTTGATATGCTAATCAAAAAATTTTTCCTACTTTGAAAGATCAAGTTATTCAAGATGTTGGAGCTTGCTAGGTCCTACAAAATACTGAAATTTGAGTGAAATTGGAGAAAACGAAACGAGCTTTGGCCAATTGGACTGTAAGCATAAATCTAAACAGTTTCTCATACGCAAACAATTGATGCCAACTTACAATAGATAAGGGCAGAGGGTGAGATTAAAATTAAGAGGATGCACTCGGGTATTGTGCATGCAAAAAAATTTGAAATTTTTTTCAATATGCTTGGTCATAAAAGCCTACAATTTACTGCTGGGAATTATGGCAATTTTGAGTCAAAGAGAAATGGCGGTTAATGGAATTTTAGCTTTAGTTTCTCGATAGTCATACTAACTGAGAGAAGCAGTCATTTATTTATTTATTTATTTATTTATTTATTTATTTATTTATTTATTTATTTATTTATTTATTTATTTATTTATTTATTCATGTAGTACACTCAATGATACGCGATGATTTTTGTTTGTGAATAAATTATCTTCTTTCAAACCCCTGCCTAAGCATTTTTATCGGAAATGCATTCAGTCGCCTATCAATGTTGAATAAATTTTTGCTTAGTTGATGGTCAGCTGCGAGGATGATTACTACGTCCCAAGTTTTTTCATAAAAAAGAATTTGATTTCGATAGGACTAAAGGCACTTTTTAATTCACTTACAAACAATTTTATGAGCTTTTCTACGCTTCAAAACAAAATGAATCTGCTGCAGTGCCTGACAGCTCCAATGCTTTCCTCCGCAGATCCCTTTAATCCCAACCAAGCTCATAGCCGGAAATCCGAGATGAATAAGCCGGGGCGCGTGTGTTGTTGACGTTTCAGTGGTTGCGTGTCGGAATAGGCAATGATGGTTGCGCGTATGTGGATGGAGTGCTTTGGAGCCCATGATGGATCGGAAATCCGCTGGCGCTTCCTTATGGCCGCACATGGCTAATTCAATCGGAAACGATGGGAACGTTCTCACGAGATCGCTTTCGGATAGGCTGATTCTTCAGCACATGATCTTCAATGAAGAAGAGTTTATCCGCTCTGCAGAAAGCTTGCCGTGTGAAGCGTTCAAAGTCACCGGGAGAAGAGTAAACAACCAGTATGCTGACCAAAAACTCACCCCGAAATTTTGTAAAGCATATAATAATTTTTGGTATAAGTGATTCAAGATGAAACTCTATTCTACACCGATACGACTTGTGATTTTTCATTTTGTCCATTAAACTCACTTGCAAAATTATGCTAGATATTCGGTTAAGATTCACAATCTGGTTGAAGCTCTCTATACAGGCGGAAGAGGTAGGATTTCCTACAGAATTGCAGATGTGGTTGATTTTCGTTGCGGTAGCCAAGTTCAAGGATAAGGTAAGTGCGTAGGAGAATATTCGGGTGTGCACAGAATTCCAATAAATTGTGCACTTTTTTGATTATGAATATCTCTCTTGCCTTGAGGTCTTTAGCAGCCTGTGGGTATCACTTAGTAAAGATGATTTCAACTTATATAGTATAAAGCGCGATTGCGCTCCATTACTGTAGGATTATGGTAGAAACTGCCAACATACAGCGTTTTTGTAAATTTGCCTCATTTCGGAAAAATCTTCAAGAATCTGAAAATCGTCTATGGGGTTCTGACAGGTTTTCGGGACTCAGTATTATAAATACATTTTTGGAAATACTGAGAAATCACGTTAAGCTATACTGGCTTAAACTTAGAGCATCAAAGTAAAATAAAGTGCGACTCAAGTTCAAAGTCAGCGAATTAGCCTAGTGTAAAGGCTTCTGGTAGTTTGGTTTTTTTCTGTGCCTATAGTACACAATCGGCAAAAAAACATGGAATTAGGAGTTGAAGGACGGACAATTTGGACACTCATCTCTATCTGTTCCAGTCAGGAAAGCCTCCATTTTAGAAATGATCATCAACTTTTCAGGGTATTTCAACTACCGTATGTTTTTTTTTTGTTCTCACACAGCATTATGCGAAATTTTGTTGAACTTGTGATCACCCCATGTCGTTGCTCCGATATAACGCTCTCAAAATAATTTTTTTGTTAAACGATGGCAAATGTTATGGGCACAGCAAAGAAGACTGTGTGGCTCCTCAGAGCACTTCAATTAGGACAGTGTGAATTGAAATTGAAATTGAAACGACAAGCTCAGCCATAACAATGTCACCCCTCCCTCTCGATTTCGATGTCTGAAGTACAGTTTTTGAGCTTAGACATAGAAACCTTGTTTACACGAGATTGTCACCTGACATCTCATAAAGTAACCCTATCTCATTATTCTTTGTCATGAGGAAGAAAAGAGTACTACAGTGTAAGTACAAATGCAGATCACTTGAATGCTATCAGGTTTCATTATTAAGTAATTTAGAAGCCTTTACATCAGAAGAATCTATTATATTCTTTTTACTAGATTGGGTTTCTTGGTATTCTACGTGAGAGCCGAGACTAATAATAATTTTCGGTTGACATTATGCCTATGTTTTGAAAATGTGCTTTGCCTTTTGAAGAAAACAAATTTGATCGTTTCATACAATGCTATTAGCACTGTTTTGAGGCAAGGCTCAAGGAGAGAGGAACTTGGAAAATTGCCAAGTAGAAAGTGATGAACAAAAATATAAAAATATTACATGTTGCTTTTTCAGTCCGACTATGTCATACAGTAATAACTTTCTTATTACAAACGGGTGAAATACTGAAATGCTTATTTTTTTCCACTTTTGAAGATCTGTAGAACATTCAGAAAAAAGAGTATTGTTGAAAAGCAAAGATCTCGAGAGTCAGCAAATCTGTTTAGTGTATCGGGCTGTGTCCTAAAAAATCAATTACTTGGATAAATTACTTTCATTTGGCATTGATTTGGCAAAGCTTCAACTATAAATTCTTTCAATAACCAAGACTTTACCAATGAATTTTTTTATGTGACAAATGTTTTGAAACGCAGACACAGCATTGATCTCGACCACTGTAATATGGAAATGAACGTATTTCACATTTTTGAACAGAATGAACTTCTCTGATTAATTGGGAATGACTAGCAGTTGCTTTCTTTATCTTGAAAAAGTTGAAAATATGATTGGAATTTTTGAAAGAATTCGCTTTGTTGGAACATGTAGGTTTTTTACCCTAAGTCTCGGTCCATATCTCGTAGCATATGATTCAAAGACTTTAATATTATGAAGGTAATTTTGCCAATCCCAAGGCCATACATGGGGGCAGTATAATTCGATAGCTGTGGAGAGTCCAGCACGTCACTAATGTCTCAGGTTTCTTATGCTAAAACTTTGATAGATTGCTTTACTTCCGAGAAAGATGAGATGTGGCAATAAAATTATGTCAATAAAATTTGATATGTGGCACACTTTGGATGAAAACTATTTTCAGGCAAAATGATTTGAAAATTTCCAAGACATGGACCTATTTCTCGTTCGACAGTTTCCAACATTTTTTTTCATAATTTTAACACGTTGACGACGAGCCATTTTTTTGCGGTCTGTCCCTGTGGACGAGACGTTTCCATGCATCCCTATGCGTGGCCCATGTATGTATGCATGCATCCATGCAAGAAGTACAAAATGTGCAAGCCCCGCCCCCTCTGGCAAGCTCCGCCCACTCGACCAAAAATGTCGGAAATTGCCCAAATTTCAAGAATTTATGCAATTTCCGCCACTTTTGAAAAGTGGGCGGAGCTTGCGACTTAGGGGCGGAGCTTGCCTGACGGTGGGCGGGGCCTGGCTAGAAGTTGCTCGAAGTCTTTGCGTTCATCTACGGCCTCATCCATGCTTTTTGGGGACAAAAAGGATCTTTGTGAGAGGCATAAAAGTGGGCGGAGTTTGCCAAAAGGGGCGGGGCTAATACATGAAGTACATCTGAGCCTATGTTGATTATATGAACAGAAACTGAGAGGATTGGACAGATAGTATTGAATTTAAGGCCGCCGCGCACCATTGCGCGGCGTCGTCCACAGGGACAGACTGCCTGCCGCGCACCATTGCGCGGCACTGTCGTCAACGTGTTAACAAGGAAATCGCCCTATATGTCTTCAACAAAGAATGTTAGCTAATTGTCTGAGACAACTTGATGTAGTGCACGCAAACGCGAAGGATGGCGTGAATAATTAATATCGTGGAACATCAGACACTCAAAAGGACATACTTGAAGATAATGGGCATCACAAAATTGCTCATCCCCTTCTTGTTCTTTAAGGATGTCATTTTTTGGGAATGACATCGCTAATAATTTCCAGATAGAGGAACAAAACGAGAGCGAAATTTAATTATGGACGAGACCTAATTTTAGAGTTTGAGTGGAGAATTTTTCTCCTCTTCTATTAACATCGAATTTCATCAAATAGAGACGTATGATTGATTTTTATCGAGCTTTCTCTCCCTGGCTTGCAAGTGCTTTTGAAACTTCATTCGAAATAGGTTTAAAAGAACTACCGAGATTTGTCCACCGGCTTGATGAGCTGCTTCTTCTATTTCATAAACAATAATTTTGGTCCCTTGACTAGGGGAACTGATAGGAAGAACCTTACTCATACGCTTTTCTTTAAGAATTTTCGACTAGTGAAAGTGATCCTCAAAGACCTTTTTCAGAAAAAAAAAGTCCCATTAGCCTTAATGACAGTATGATCGCGCCCGAAAAAGAAATGGTTTCAAAAACGTATGAAATCTGAGAACACTGCTGAGTCGAATGTAAGAAAATGTCCTCATGATGGCTGTGCCTCAAAAATTTCGAAAATTGCATACTGAGAATTTCACGTGTACCTGCATATTATCCACATCACCGCAAATGCCTTGGATCTTTGGGAAAATATCGGATGAGGGCGGATGAAGGAAATGTAAGAAAAGTTCCTCAAAGCGTAAATTACTTGTTATTTGACCCTTGCGCTAAATGCAACATTTTGGCCATTTTATTTAATTACTAGAGCATCGAGTACTGTAATGATGGCCGTCTGCCATGTTATGAGAGTTTACAGAAAAACTACTAATTACACCGTTTAGTTATCGAAACTTTGTTACAATTTAGTGCTCTATCCCACATTCTACCAATCTTTAACCCGTTTTTGATGCTGGAAAGAGTGAAAACGTCTTACGTCAATACAACCAAAAATGTTGTTGCGTGTGCTTTTTACTATTATGTGTTTAACGACCAAGCGAAAGCTTCGAATAGAATTTTCCCAAAATGTTAGATTGGCACAAAGGTTGCAGCTTATTTCGTATCTTTTCTCTTTTTGAATGTGAACGCGATCATTTCTGAGCATAAAGTAGATTAAATAGTAGGCGACAGATGCACGCAAACAGTTTGATTATAGCGGCGAAGTGGAGAAAATTTACGCGTTTTTCGAAAACTGGTCAAATTCGAAATTTCAAGGATCGGAGAACCAAACACAGCTCTCAGTCTGGATCAGACCTATCAAGCCGAGACTGTGTAAATCATTAAAGACACCTCACTCAACAACCTGGGTACAATTTAGGCTCAATATGTTTAATTCAAACTGAGCGGCTTTATTTTTGGTTTTTTCGACCCTTGAAATTTCGACTTTGACCAGCTTTCGGAGTATGAGTAGTTCTCACTTCGCTACCAAAAATCAAACTGTTTACATACATCCGTAGCCCACTACGTAGTGTACATTAGTTCAAAAACGACGTCACAGTCAAAATGGAAAAAGTTACGAAATAAGTCAAAACTTATGTGCTAACCTGATAAAAGTTTATTTGAATTTTTTCGATGATAAAACATCTATTACTCAATCCAAGTAAATCTGGAGTCGGAAATTTAGATAATTTATTGCACAAGCTACCTTATATGATTGATCGTAGCCATGTAATTTAACTTCAAGCTCCAGTTAAATAAGAATCCTTCGAGCGGATCTATTTGTTTGAAAACTGTTCATACGGTTATGGTTAAGCTACTCTAACAAGAGGCTGCGGTTCAGAGCTGAATCTTTCTGCCAAGAACGTAAATACGAGTTTAGATTTGAGGACTAGTTGGACTAGTCTTCGAAGCGTCTGTAGTAAAAGTTGAAAAAAACAGATTGTTTTGAGCGCTTGACCGGCAACTTATTTTCTAGACAATAACGCTTGCAGATCTGCCATTTTTGAGCTAGTTTCGGAAAGGCAAAGTTCAAATAGCCACTCAACTTTCATTCTAAAAACATATTAGAGCAAAAAGACCATAAAACTCACTTATTAGGTCAATTTTGTTGCCAAATGCAAGTGACATAGCAACTAGCCCTAATGCCAGTAGAGTCATCAACAACGCTACCAATGCCACGACTCGTTTCACTCGACGTTGGTTATGTTCCTGAAAAAGAAGAGTTGAGGAATTAACGAAAGGAGCCAAAAATTTAAAAAAAAACAAGAAGGGAAACCAAGGACTTGAAAGGATAAAATAAAGGTTTTTTGAGGGGATGGGGCCAGCATAGTGTATGACTTAGCAAACCACAATCTCTTCTCATCAACCTCACCTGATTCACGTCCTCCCTTTGCATTTTCTATTTTTCTCTCACCTAGAGAAAAGCTGGGAAATGCTGTGTCACATAGAAAAACGTGTGACGAAGCCAATTAAAGTAAATTATTGATGAGAGACTCTTGGGACAAGTACTCTCTCTTTCTAGAGAAGAAACATTCTAAGCACCATCAAGAATTTCTGCAATGAAGGAATAAGTGCACCCAGCGGATGTTGCAAGCTATATAACCAGATCCAACAGCTAGCTATGAATCGAATTTTGAGAGAAAAGGAAAAATGCGGAGAAAGAAGTGAAAGTATAGACGTCAAAAAACTTGACAATAGAGTCTGGCGACAAGATTAGATTAGACACGAAGAGCTAATGGCCCGTGCCTTTGTAGAAGCATTCGGAGTCGAAACTTTGAAGCTTTTGAAGTTTAGACAATCCTTCAACTACATATGCTCAGTAAAATGCAGGGGTTTGGAAACTTTACTTGAGATGAGTAAGCTGCTAATATTCCCACTTGCTGAACATTACGTCCTAACAAGAACCCGCTTGCTGCATTTTTCAAACATTGCGTCCTGACAAGAATGAAAATGAAAGCAATTTATATGCAGTGCTATTCTTTGGCTTACAGACAAGCGTGCAAATGAAGAGGAAGTCCCTCCTCCTCTCGTGACCCCCGTGGTCCCCAAATGTACCCATTATGAGCTAAACCGACATAAGCAAAAGCAGCTGAATTCAACATACAATTTGTGTTCGCAAAATCAATTTAGGAAAGAATAAAGGATGAATCTAAGGGTATAGATGAGTTGCTTCGGTACTCATTTCGATTTTTTAAGCCCAAAAAATCATAAATCCTCGTTAACTTATTTTTTGCTTGTCCCTCACTCACGGGAATGGGAGGAGCTTGCCAAAAATGAGCTTGAAAAGCTAAAATTCCTCGAACGAGAAGAAAAGTAGAAAGCACGTGTGAAACTGAATTGCTTAGGTATTTGATTATTCCTCTTTTTTAGTTCCATGGCTATGTTATATGTTTGCTATATGATTCTTGCTCATCTAATATTTATGAGAGTGGAGGGGCTTGCAACCAAAAGGCCTGGCTTTCCTAAATGAAGCAGGTCTTTGACAGATTTGAGTGCTTTTGCTTTCTTCATATGTAGGAACAACAGAAATGAAATGGAAAAAAACCTTTACCATTTCGTCTCACCCCCTTCCCCCCCCCCCCCCCCCTTTCGTCCCTTCCTCTGCTCGAAGAGTCTATAACACGACTATCAATTTTTTTGGAACTCGTCTCTCTCAAAGAAATCTTCCGGAATAAAGGAATCACAATTTGCGCCCTGTTTTGCACTCGTTTTTTCTCTGTTTGACTTCCTAGCCCGGAGCGATGTTTTGCTTTGTTCGCCTCCGAACAACAACGAATTAGACATGGTTATTCCGTATTTACGAGCATGGAAGCGTAAAAGACGCTTTTCCAACACCATCACGGTTCACTGCTTGGCAACTTTTCAATTCGGAGATCTGCTCTGGGCTGTACTGGAGCTTTGAAGATAGCTTGTTATTCTAGTCTGACATGCAATCGCTAATTCTATTAGCAGTCGGCTTAGCTACAAACGTAAATAGCCATAATCACAGACACCAAAGAAAACCGCCTATGAAGTCTTGTCTTGTAGAATTTCTGGAACTATCCACAATGTAGAACATTATGAAAGTAAAAACGAGTACGACAATTTCGACAGCCACATTGCAAATTCGTCAGCTTGCGTGCAAGACTGTCAAAAATATTGGTATGGAAATTATGCATATGCCAGTTAACCTGATACGAGTAGATGTACACACCCCATCCCTCTCTCCCTCCTCATATCTAGGGTTGATCGTGATATTTCTCCAGTTCACATGAGTTCTACAATTTGTGCAGGTCGCTTTTTCATTTGAAATCTGAGAATATGCAAGCTAACATTCAGAAAACTCCTGACGAGCATTAGGGCATTGCGACTTCCTTTTGAAATTTTCATCGTTACAATCATGTTAAAAGATTTTATTTAGAAAGTTAAGACCCTAAAAATTGATTTGGATTTCAGAAAATCTGTGTTGTTCGACATATGCAAAAGTGAGAAAATAGCTTCGTCAATTAGAGGGATGCTTTCATCTAATAAGATCAAAGTTCAGAAGACTCATCTTCAAATATCATCTGCTGTTAGCCTGAATATATGGAATAGTCCTCATACAAGATTAGCAGTAATTTTACCATAGGCAGCAGAAAATTATTTTACACTAGCAAAGTGCCCCTTTAGTCTTTAATTCATAAGTCTTGACTCGTGTTGTGTATGGAGGCAATTATGTCACAAATACAGCAGTTGCACTTAAGTTTTTTATTCGAAAGCATTAATAAGTCCTATGCTTTATGATTACAATTTGAGCATGGTCAATCTTACCCGAAGAGCCAAAAAAGGGTCACTTATAATAAAACTCGATTTTCTTCCTTTGCTCAACGGATCATTTTACAAACATTTGCAAAAGCTTCAAGCAAAAAATACCTTTTTTACGTCAACGATTGCCTCAAGATCTAAGGCCAAAGAATACGGCCAGACCTTTTGACGTCAAGCTTCGACGTTTCTTGGCCTCTCCATCTTTGATCAGTCCCACCTTAGGCAGAGGCCTTTTTGGGAGAACATTCGATTTCCGCAAATTTTAGATTCTCGGTCGTTTAAATGACATTCGGGCTCTAAACGCATTCAGCGGTACAAAAAGTTTTCGTCGAGAATGTCCATATGTTCCACGAAGCCAGAGAATGTTCAAGACTGGGAAGAAGGAGCTAAATTTGGGGCGAATTCTAGAAAAATGAGGCTTAGTTGAGAAAATGGAATTTAGTAGTGACTCATTTGGGGTCAAGCCTAGAAGATTATTCCAGAAAGGGTAACGATCAGCAAACTACTTTTGCGGTGCCGGCAACAATTGCGCGTAAAAATGGCCAATAAAACAGATTTTCGATTTTTACTTCCTATAGCAATCTTTTTACGCGCAACTGTTGTCGGCAACGCCAGAACACTTTAAAGACCTACCAGACTATACCAGGAGACCCAATTTTTGAGCGTAGAATATGATCTTCCGCCCCTCCTTTATCCCTTTCCTCATTTCCACTCTTCTCCCTTGTTCCATGGACAGAAATAGCATGCTAATCGACGCATCCTAATACATTAATAGCCGAGTAGCTGCTCGCAAGCACAACAAGTGCCCCGGACGCCGACAACATTTCGTCTCCTTCTCGCACCCCCCCCCCTTCTCCAGTTCCTATTTATGTACCTTACGAGCAAATCAACAGAGCATAAATCATGTCCTCAGAGTTATAATGCATGAAAGAACGGCCGGAAAGGTAGGCGGACCGTTGTGGAGGAACTTTGGCCTAGAGGCATGAGCGTCATGAACGGAAAAGAAAGTTGTTGATTGTCGGCTATCATCGGGGATTAGTGGACCAACGATAGCAGCTTTAATTGTTGTGCTGAAGCGATGGAGTATCGAGCCAACGTTGGGCTAACGGCTTTTGGACAGCTGCCAAAGATTTCGGGACTTCGCGTACGCTGACTTTGTCCATTAGAACATCAAACCAATGGAAAAATTGGAAAGGAAGGAAGAAAGATGTCTGAGAAGGGAAGAATAGGAGGTTACAAAGTGGGTAGCAAAAATGGTTTGAGATGGTGAATATAAGCAAAAAATTAGTAAAAATTCCCCAATAAGATTCATGGCAGCACAACGAGCGTTAATCTTACTAAACTGCGATTGTAAATTTCAAGGAAATGACTTATGAAATTTCATTTGAAGAGTTTTTATTGGAGTTTTCTTGCAATTTTCATTGGCCTCTAATGTGCCAAGTGCGTATGCCTTTATTAATAACAGCATTCGCTACATTTAAATGAACCGTTCTAAAAAGAATTTTGGGAAAGGGTGCGGTGAGCAGGGCTCGGCACGAGGTGGCTTACAAGCAAGCTGGATATCGTTTTTGGGACGAAAAGCAAAGGGGGTTTCGTTTTTGTGACCGAAGAGACACGGAAAATTGGCGACGGCGATCTTTTTTTTTTAGTCGACTTTTGTTTTTTGGGGGATTTTGGGGAATTTTTTCAGGTTTTTAGAGGAAATTTGGTTGAGGGTCAAAGGGGACTTCGTAAAAATTTCCAAAAGTCAAGAAGGACTTCGTTTTTTCCATTTTCATCTAGCCACCTCGTGCCGAGCCCTGGCGGTGAGATGACCAAATCTAAGTCACAAATAAAAACTTTAGCAGGTCTTTGATTGAAGAGTGAAAAGGATGTTTCAGTTTAGTTATTCTTGAGTGTTTAGTCGCAATACCAATTTTTTGAAGTTATTGAACTTCGTATATCGAAAAAAATTATCATTTAATCATGCGTCCTCTCTTCCCATTCATTCGTCGCTTTCGAACAATCACAGTTAGCTCCATCTCTGGATATCCAATAACGAGGCTATAAAAATGCAAAAACTGCGATCCAATTAGTTGATTAGATTTTTGTGGCTGGAGTTACCCATGTGAGCAGCTAGCTAGCTTTTGTTTATGGAATTGCTCGTTCTTGATTAGACCTTTAATTTTATGACCTAAGACCAGGATCAAATTGCATTCGTGAGGTAATTGCATGTACTTCACGGAGTGCATTTTATTGGCATTAGTCTATTTTGCATTATTCAGATGTATGATTCCATAATAAGAAAAGAGTTAGGCCAAGCATTATCTCAGACACGACTTGTTACTAGGCTCAAGGAAGGGACACATCGCGAAAGATTTCATCGTCGCGACATATCTATCAAGACGAAAACATTGCATAATTTAGTTCTTCATGTAATGATTAAGAAAAAAAAATATTGAGTGTTAGGAACAAATCAGGTTTTTAAAAATTGAGATATGCTTTCTCATTATGTTTCCATTCTTTTCTCGTCTTTTGTGAAGGGTGTGTATGTAACCAAATTTACGTCTTTTGCTTTTGAAGCACTCTTGAAAGCGCAAACAACAAGCAAACAAATAAGCGATGAGTAAATAAATTCAAAGTTTTGAGAGTTACTCTTTGATTCAATTGGCTTGGCGGCTGGAAGGCGGAGCTTTCCGGGCTCCCAAGCTGCCTTAATTAGGTCACAAAGCCTCGCATTCCAGCAGCCAAGCCAGATGAATCAAAGGTTAATTATTCGGAGTGCCAAAACTCCCATTGCTTATACTGGCAATGATAAAATAGTTCCATGTGATAAAATCAGTTCAAAAATGAATTAGAGGACCTCAACGAGAAATAGTAAAATATTTCAGGTTTTGCAGCGCTTGAAAGTGCAATTAAGCATGTGAGCCACTTTCTTGCGCCATCTGCGCTGTGTACAACTAGAAATATCAAAATGAGCACATGCAAAAATTTCACATCAATATCGCAATGAAGAGTGTGCGACATGTGGCACATAGAAAGATACGCGAGAAATGCTATAAAACGTGCTGAATACACTTTTATATAAGAATTATTGAGAAATGAGCCCGGGATTTTGTGGCCAAACTTGGAAAGCGTGCAAGGGTTTTGCTGGATTTTTACGGATGAAAACTAAACATAGAGAAAATGGTGTATAAATCGAGAAAAAATTCTGGTGTACAAAACCTTCAAAAGAAAAGCGAATAAGAAAAGGAAAGACAGAAGAAAACTTTTTTCACCATCCATTTTTCAACGCTTATAACAAAATTTGAATGAAAATTATTAATTGAGTTTGAGTAGTGTTTTGATATTTTTCCGTTTTTCATTGTTTCTTTTTCCTTTGCTTCGATTTTTTGTCACAAAATGGTAGCAAGAATACTATACTGTAAAATGAAGTCGAAAGTGGTCAAAAATTTTGAATGAACGAGTTGAAATCTTTGATTACCATAGATTTTGAGAGGGAAAAATACAATTTTTGAGCTCATTGAGATTTTGCTCGGTTAAATTCAGCAAAGTATTATAATGCAAGAACATCTTGGGCAATGCAAAAAAACGAATTTTCCTGACTTCCGCAAAATTTTACGAAGTCCATTCGACCCAAAATTGGAAACGTCGACTAAAAAACTAACTTGGACCAATAAAAACGATATCCGTTGTTTTTTGTCTTAAAAACGATATCCAGCTCGCTTATAAGCTATCTGTGCCGAGCCCTGCCCTTGAGTTCTCATCGACCTCATGATATTCAAACTTTCATGAAAACTGCACCTCAGCGTAAAAGATTAAGCACGTCAAAGCCGCTTAAGATGATATATGCAGCTTAGGGCAGGATTATGCCATGACTTATACCTCCTACACAAAGACAATATTTTATCTTGGAGCTTTGTCTACGGCTGCAAATACCATCTTCGTAAGAGCGATGGCTTTCTTGCATTTTCTTTGCATGCTACAAAAATTCTTTGTATTTGAGCTGGCTAAGTTGGCTGATAAACCATGATCTGTTGAGCCGTGACTGTCAACTATTAGGTCTTGTAATAGGGTTCCATTTATTGTTTTAGTTTTTTCTTGACAACATTGACTATATTTGAGATAAAGTGTATATGCTTTCGAAAGCTCTAAGTCTGCTCTGCAGGATCATACGCATCATTCCCCAACATAGCCGGAAATTGAAAAAGATTTTTATCATTGAGAAAAATCCAAAGAGCCGAAAAATCAATTTTCGACATCTTTTTTCCTCAATTTTTCTCGATTTTCATTGGTTAAACCTATTAAACAAGCTTGACAACAACCAAAACAATCTACTAGATTTTTACACTTATTCTATCACTGTTTGCTCGCGTTCCCTTCCTTCCACCGGCTATTTAATGACATTTTTTCAACAGTCGGCAAGGCAAGACTTTGTCACGGCGATGTTTGCCGTCTGGCGTACCCAAGCTGTGTGGCTCCCAAAATCCGAATTTTGAGTATTTAACCTACGAATTTGATAATTTTGAAGCCACAAACCACCCCTTCTGTCTTTTCTGGATGATCCGCCTACCGTCTTCCCTCAGTATGCCTTCAGATGATGCCCAACATCAACGTTGAAAAGGCGTTAGAAAGAAGACATTTCTAAAGTCTACAAAAATGATTTTTGAAAAGTTTCAGCACTTCTGAAGCGCAGTAGAAGCTAGAGCATTCTTTGCTTAGATGTAGCAAATCTTCGAGCTTATTCCTAGGCATTCTGACTAATTAGGGGTAACGTAGTTGTAACGTAACGTAGTTGTCGAAAATGGACTTTTTCCCCATTTGATTTTCCAAATTTGACACTGTAAAACTTTTTCAAGTCATCTGATGTAGAAAACCGAGATGAAAGTTTTAGTAGAGAAGGCTTAAAGCTTTCAGATGCATATAAACAATTTGCAGAACATCGCGCAAAATACTGAGAAAAAATCGAAAGAAAAATTGGGACAGAATTTATTACACTACCTAATAATTGACCCTTTTGCATCACAAACTCAGTTGACAACTGAAGAAATCCAACGCCCTATTCTGAAAAAGTCTGAAATAAAAAATTAGAAGCATTTCTACATTCCTGCGAAATGACTATAACGAAAACTGCTGTCAATAGTAAGTAGTATTAGGATGTCTCTTTTTAGCCATTTTTGATTTTCATATCTTCAAGAATTCTTAGATCTGGTTAGGGCAAATCGTGTTTTTGGCAACTATGGGGATCAAATGTTGATTAAGATAAAGAAGAAAAAAGTGGAAAAATACAGAACAACATTATAGGAAGACCATCTTCTTTCTAGAAAAGAGAATATTGTGCAATTGCTTCCAAATCGTAGTCAGAAAAGGGGAAACCTCAAAAAGAAATGCAATCAATTTCCGAAAATAAAGAGGAAGAAGTGTTTAAATTTTAAAGAGATTGTTCCTGGATCAATTCAAATTTGCTCAACTTTATTAAGACAGTGAGAATCGTTTAAAATGTGCTTATATGCGTTTCAGATAAATATGGCCTTACGTAGAGCTGCAAGTAATGTTCGAAATCAAAGCAGAAAATTGTTTTTCATAATCGTACTTTGGTGAAAGCCTAGTTTCAGTCCAGATTCTTTCTAAGCCTTAAATTGCTATTTCTAAAGCAAGTAAGTCAACAAATTTATACAAATCCGTGTTAAGTGGCATTTTTTGCATCATGAAAAGTTTCTATTCCATAATTTAACTTTCTTTCACTCGGAATTTTCTCCTATGAAAAATTTAAGCTCGCCGAATGTTTGCATAGTTTTTTTCTCACACATCGCTCTCACCTTACAGAGTCACCGCCGGACGTTACTATGGTGAGAAGTAATATTGGCATACTGCCTCATCCCCATTAGGCGCTAAGCAACTGTTGTTTTCAATAACATTAGCCCTGACACGAGTGAATGTGACACATAGTCAATGGGAAAAGTGCAAAGGAACTATGAAACTACGCTCTTCACGACAAACCTTGATTTGCTGAATCTCGATGTCAGACAACTCGTACTCGTCGTCCTCTTCAATTTTCGCATTGGCAGTCATCGATGCTGCCTTTTCGGGGGTGGAAACGAAAGCAAACAGACGGAGAATTGCAGGAGGATTTTTGGGAAGGGGATGGCACGAAGATCAGCAGGGGGGCAGTCAGCGGATGAGAGCGACGAGCTGACAACGACTGATGAGGTGAGCGGAGACTCCGCGATTTGAAGGCGGAGCCCCCTATGGCGGGGCCCCGGCGTGTGTGCGCGTTCGTGGCGCGCTGATGACGTCGTCGACTTCCGCGGATGAATGACTTTTTCCCAAAGTTTGGCCGGATATTACCCAATTGAGCGGGTAATAAGCCCATAAGCTGCAGAACACTGCAAAAAGAGAGATCTTTCTTAAGAAAAGCTATGTCTCCAAGAGTTGGTAAAGGCCTGGACCAAGCCGGGAGTTTGATTTTTCCTTGTTGTAAATCGCGCTAAAATCCTGGGAAATTTTTAGGCATGATTTCTAAGGGACTAGTGCATATACAAAAGCGGAAATTGTAGATTTACTTTCATACGTATATGTTGACTTCCGAGGATGTGGGAAGAGCAAAGGGTCAAAGAGGTGGAGTTTGCCATTCAATTAACTCCTTTATGGAGCGTAAAGAAAAGGAAATTTATGGGAGAAAATCATTGAGATATTGACTACGTGGTACGATAATGACAGAGAACAAGAAAAAAAAACAATCCACCAATTACAGTATGGAGAGAGGTATTAGAAGCTCTTCATACTGTACATTTACTGTAGTAAGTCAATCAAGAGACTTTATTCCAGTAGCAAAATTTTCTCTTGATACCTACCTCGCTGCAGTATGGACAAAACCCGCGAGCAGCGGAGTCCTAGCTTGGCAATCGGCTGCTTCTTCATATTAAGTGTAAAAACCATCCAAAATTACTGCTTTACAGTTGATCATTATGCCAAAAGTCAAAGAGTTAGTTAAATGTTTCGCGTTAATTCTAGGAGTCATAACCTATTTCTTATAGTCCTTTGTTTTCTTCCCACCAACCCAGTAAACGAGCATATGTAAGTTTATTGCTTGTATTTTGACTGTTTGAATGTAGTGTTTGCGTTTGTCAAGCAATGGTCGCCTATCCGTGGTTGGTTCTTAACTTCGTATCTTTCTAAACTCAGAAGTATGCCCCGCTCCTTATACTTTCCATATTCACCTCCAGAAATTGTAGTTCATGATATCTTGGGCCCCGGACAGACTTCACGCGATTTGATCGTCGCGATTCAATCGCCGTGATTTCCATTCATTCCTATTTTACCTTCAAAAATTTTGGACTGGAAAAGTATCACAACCGAATTCAAGTTGATTGGCATAGAATGATGTTGTATTAGTTGTCTTATCCCGATTCAATCGCGACGATCAAATCGCGTGAAGTCTGTCCGGGGCCTTACACTTCTCGTGACTTGCTTGTGTAAAAAAGAATATATCCTGAAAGCGCTAATTGCCGCCTGAAATTTGGTAAAAATGGGTAGTTCCAACCAAAAACAGCTGATTGCAGCTCCAAGCAGCTGAGATAAATCCATAAAAAATTGAGCCTAAGTTTGCTGAAAAACCTAGAGGCATGAAAGGGAGAAAGACCGGAACAAATTCTACGGTATCACAGTGTGGAGCAGAAATATCAGTTGTTATAGTATTATGGTAACAACTTTCAAGAGCTACCTGTACTAACAACATCTGAATTTTTTCAAGTGAGGAGTTTGTAAAAACTTTTTATGCATTGGACTAATAATAATGGAAAGTACAAATCACTTCGCAATGATACACCCGCGATTTATTTTGAAAAACCCCTCGTAAATCCTGCACAGTGGCAGCTGGACATTGGTCTTTTGAATGATGTGAAGCAGTGCTGAAAAAAATAACAAATCTGTTCCTTATCTTCAAAAACGTTCTTCGTTGAAGACTTGAGCATTTCCGCATTTCTTTCCTTTTCGAAACATTTAACCTCCATTTAATTTCTTCAGCATGAGTCCATGAGTCTTGGTAGCGATTACACCGAAGATGAAGAATTGTGCATAGTTCTTTCGCAAGTTCACATGCAATTTATCCTTGGAGGTTGCAAGGAGCTGGAAGAGGGGGGGGGGCTGTAAGCGGGATCAACAGAGGAACATCAAAGGAGTGCATACATTCAATAATGGGTAATCTATTTGGGTGTAAAAATAGTTAGGGCTAGCGACAGTGTCTGCAGAGAAACAAATGCTGCTAATCATATTAGCTAGGAGGAAATGCATTTGAGCGCAAAGCAAAAACGCACGAAGAAATTGCTTTGAATAGCTCAACAATACGTCCACCTTGTAGATAAGCCTTTGCGATACCTTCCGAAAATTTGAGAAAACTATTAAAAATAGATCACTCGCAGACCATTTCCATGCTTCACTACTGCAACAAAGTCATTTTTTTGATTTTTCATTTCTCAAAAATACTTGGAGCCCTCAAAACCTGGAAAAACAGGAAGCAAAAGCTCTAGATTTTCCCAGGTCGGGATATCCAAAACAACAACTCTTGTGCTCGAGTATGTACTCACGCGCTGTGTTATCATACGCTGATCGGAAACAGCAATGAGGAAGCTAAGCGAAAGCATCTTTGTTTACGTTTTTAAAGAGGCACGAAGGAAATGATGTGGGCGATTTTAGCAGATTTCGTTTCCGATGAAGGTCTAGATTGAGCTGGATGTATTTAGCAAGAGATACACATCATAGACATACACATATACACATCTATTCAAACACAAAAACAATAAATCACAATTCACATTTATTTTTTGACAAAAATGATGGCGTGTTGTTTATTGGCTTGATATTTGAGTCGTACAGCAGAAGTATAGGAAATTCGATCTACGACGTAAATTGCTTGGTTTATACAATTTAGATTTTGATGTATTATAAATATTGTACTCACATATGTCAAGGATTGAACTGAATATTTGGAACATGTCAGGAAATTGTATGAAAAACAAGAATGGTAACCATCCAGTGATCCTTTCAACCATCCTTTCAACGAGATTTTCCTTTGATTTAAATTACGAAATTGAGATAAAAGTTCCATTAGTTTGCAACGCTCAGCAAATTTATTATCGAATCAAAATGTACCTTTATCATCCTGTATCCTAGCCATATAGGGACTACGGTTATAAGGAAGTGCATAGTTTCCCTTGTAACATATCGAGGTCAACGAATTTGTCAATTATATAGTTAAAACCTTACATATAGGTGCAGGCCCTATATATCAGCCCAATACTTTGACCATCGCTTGCTACTTCCTCTTGACTCTTTTGTTTGACTTCTACTCTGTCGACCGACATATGTCAACCTCATTCTTTTGACAAATGTTCTAGTGTAATAAGCGCGAACAACCCATAAAATTAATGTTCTGTTCGTGTCTTGCAACGACAACTGCTTCCATTAAAAGCTGTAGGTTGATGCAGAAAAGTTACTTCTGTTACTTGGGATTTACAGAGATGAGACTTCGCAAAAGGAGAAGAAAATCATAGCTTCTTACGATTTTAGTGTGCCTGCAGTATTGTCATCTTCCTTGCATTTTGTTAGTCAAAATGTGCTTTTCTTCCAGAATTCTTCAAACCTTTTCTCTTGCTAACATGTGAATTGTTGAGCTTGCGTTACATGAAGATATCTACCTAAGCGCTCAAATGCAGCGTAAAACCAGAGCCTGAAGCTGGTTCAGTTCAGCTGTGAACTATAACAATTTTGAAATTTAATAGCATATGGGAACTAGGAGCAGTAGGCAAACAAAGTAGCTCTATAATGCACGTAAAATATGTGGAAAGCTACGTTTGCCCTTAGGCTCTATAAAAATCTACCTCCTTCAAAAAAAAAAGATTTTTATTCTACAACTTTTTTGTGACGATCGGCTTTGACGAGGTTACTACAAATCGTCATTTTTAAATTGTATTATATGATCTTCTCGTGCCGAATAGGCTGTTGAATTAACTGAGGCTCTTTTGACCAGCTTTTCGTGGAAATTTCATCTGGCAGGCTCCCAGTCAGTCGCGAAGCTTTTGGCCCCTTACCGTAGTCTCAGTGCTTACGTAATCTCACGGTAACAACTGCTAAGAATTCCATACAACGAGGTGGATTATATAAATTTATAAAAGACTCGATAGCTTTTTTTGTAACTCCTGTGGCTGTTTCTGGGTTATTTGGAAAGCTCGGAGACTGTTATTGCAGATATTCCGGCGCAGATCTTTTAGACTCTTTTGATTTTCTTCAATCATCTTCCTTCATGGGTTTTGAATTTACAAAACTGTAAAAACAAAGAGAGAAAAACAGAATAGTAACACAGAGAAGAGTGTGTATAACACTTATTGCTATTTTAAGTAGCTCCAATCCCATCTTGGAAGTTTTACTCAATGCAAATGGAGCAACGACGAGGAGATTGCAACAGTGAAACCATCGATTCGCCGTTGGCAAATAGGTGCCACTCTTAAAAGAATGTGTAAAAGTGCCTAATTTGCAGCTATCCTCGCAAAAGTTCTCCTTGCGCCTTGCAAATTATAAAACACTAGCTGGCAAACCCGGTGCGCCCGGCCCTGTCGATAATATAATCGTAATCAGCATGCTCACTTACCCTCCTGTGCCAAATCCCAGCCCCGTAGGTCGAATCACAAGAAAATTGACAAAATCGATATCGATCGATAACGAAAAATAGCTACGACACCCGCCTCGCCCCGAAGTGTATGGACCGGATCCGTTCAGGAATAAAATTTTCTATTCTTAACATACGTACACACATACAGACAGACAAACAAACAGTCCGCTTATAGTAGATTGCTGTAATTAGAATTTTTAACATGGCTGATGTCATTACTGACTAGAGGATACAAAAAATTTCAAAAAGTATGAGAAAATTCCCTTCTCTGTGACTAACTCTGCTCTGACTATCAGCCATGTAGATTTTGATTTTTGTCTAAAATATGCTACAGCTTTGCGAATATATCTGCTTCATAAGGAGTAAATTTCGCTCTTCTCACACCGAGTCATAATTTTTGCACGCT